GAGAGAGAGAGAGAGAGAGAGAGAGAGAGAGAGTTTACAAATACAGGGAACGGTTGGTTGCTTCCTATCTCTGTTCATTAGTGCAAGCAGGGCACATTTGTAAACAGCCATTCTCAGTTTCAAATTTTCCATTAAACCACCACTACCTTTTACAGCTGTAGTCCCAGTTGGGAGAATGACGTCACCCGTAAAGTTCGAGGGTCGGGGCGAGGGTTGGCAAAAAGACAACGTTTGGGCCTTGTGGGCCGAATTGGAAAAAAAAACAGAAAACAAAAAAATAAACGCCAGAGTTGAAAGGAAGGACGCCTGGAAAAGCCACAAAGGAGGTGTGCTCACAGTAGTGCTTCGAGGAATGCATCTGCCCAGATCACCGCTAGTTTCGTTTTTTGTCTTTTGTGTTTTTTATTTTTTTCCTTCTAATTTAGTTTGAGTGCCCTGCCAACGAGGCAGGGCGCTTTCCACGGACAGCTGACACTTGCAACCCAGGGGGCACTCTCACATGTACTTAAGATTCTGTATCCAGCTGTTCTTACGTCCAAAGAGTTGTGCTGTTTTTCCTTTTTCTTTTCCCCTACTGCCGTATTTTGCTGAGGGCTATAACGCCCGTTGGGAGGGAAGATTCTAACATGTACCCAATGTTCTGTATACAGCTGCTTTCACGTCCAAAGAGTTGTTTCTTTTTTTTTTTTTTTTTCATTTCTTTATTTCCTACTGCTGTGTTTGGCTGATGGCTGTAACGCCCGTTCGGAGACGCAGCATACTCTCGCATGTGCCCTATGTTCTGCATCCAGCTGCTTTCACGTCCCTGGTGTAGTTGCTTTTTTTCCTTTTCTTTCGTTTTTTTTTTTTTTTTGGTTTCATTTTCAACGAGTACCAGATGAGAAAATACAATGGGACCCAGGCTCGGCAAAACTTGGTGCGCAGTGAAATTCCGGCTTGGCAAAAACAGGCTCGGCAAAACTTGGTGCGCAGTGCTTTTTTTTTTTTTTTTTTTTTTGTGCGCAGTGGTTTAACAGTTTGAAGCATACATTTGTCAATCTGTTAGAGTTGCCCTTCTCAGTTTGGAACTTTCTGTTAGATTCGGGATTTTTTTTTGTGCAAAAACAGGCTCGGAGGTAGTGGTGGTTTTCTGCTTGATTCTCGTCATCTGATACGAGTAAAAGCTGGATCCATCCCTTTATTTTATGACTTGTGTTTCTTTTCGTCCTCTACTATTTTCCCCTCTTGGAGTCTCAGTCAAAATGCAGAAAAATTGATTGCGTTAAGTGAAATATATATCACAAGTTGTTGTGTATGATGAGTCATCTCACTGCATTACTGTCATTCAGTTCCCTGATCGATGGCTCATGATCAGACTCCTTGAAATTGTTGTGAACTTGTCTTCTAGGATGCAGAGGAGTGTTGGACTCAACTTTTGCAAGCGCTATCTCAGCGCCTGAGATTGCAGAAGGAAGGCAGGTATGGTGTTCTCCATTGTCCTGTGATTGCATTACTTGAGAGAAGAAGAATGAGAAGAAGAAGAAGCCATATGCTCCACTCGTGGTTTTTCAGTTTTTCGTTTTTCTATATCCCTGAACCAGTAGAGGTACTTGTGGAAGAAGAACTTTCCCTACATGCATCTTCTTCCTTCTTCTTCTTCTTCTTCTTCTTCTTCTTCGTCGTCGTCGTCGTTGTCGTCGTCGTCGTCGTCTTCTTTGTCATCCCTATCCACCTCACACTAGAGGTACTTGTGGAAGAAGAACTTTCCCTACATGTATCTTCTTCTTCTTCTTCTTCTTCTTCTTCTTCTTCTCCTTTTTTCTTCCTTCTCCTCCTCCTCCTCCTCCTCCTTTGTCGTCCCTATCCACCTCTTTTTCTTTCTTTCTTTCTTTCTTTCTTTCTTTCTTTCTTTCTTTCTCTCTTTCTTTCTTTCTTTTTTACCTGACACTTGCAATCTAAACGATAACTTGGCAGCATTGTGATCGCATCTAGCTCACGTTCCTCGAATTCCGTTAAAGCCGTCTGGTGGGCACTACAAATAGTTTTCCTTCTTTATGACCTACCCCCTATGCCGCGCTTCTCGCACTACCTCCTCTCAAACTTATTTTCCCCCTCTCATCACGATATGATCATCTCTTCGTTTTTCATTCTGATGCAGGCAGAGCGGCCCTTGCGCATTTTGTTGAGGATCGTTGTTCACATTTACGGTTGTCGTTCTTTTCTGACTGTCTGCTTCAGTTGAAGTCTTTGGGACAAAAGGGGGGAGGGGGGTATGGTACAAGGGTGTTGCACCTTGTGTGAAAGGAGAGCCTCAGCCTGTGCAAAGTTTCCTTTTCCTTTCGGGAAGAGGATTTTGCACCATGTGTGAATGGGGGGTATGGTAGAAGGGGGGGCATGTGTGAAGCAATGGCCCAAAATCATGCTGAAAATTGCTGACGGACAGCGTTGCCAGGGAAAACTCCTTGCTTCCTTGCTGTTTCAATGTATATGCTGTTTGACTTCTTTTCTTATTTTCCATGTTTACCATTGAAGTTGATTGAACTCATCAGCTTTTACTTTGGTGTGCATTTTGTCTCTGTTTCAAACTTCCTTAAAACAGAGTGGAATCTGTGGTTCAAGATTTGTTTGGCATAGAGATGCAGAACAGGTAGGTTCTTCCTCCAATGGTGTCCACTCATCATGATTGAATTAGGTTGTCCCTTTTTTGAAAGGCAAATAGAATTACTCTTTGGTTTCTGCAAAGATAAAGGTGTAATAGTCTTGAATATGCGCTTGTACATGAAAATGTGCTTCCAATTGGGTAAAAAAAACTCCAACAATCCATTCCATTTATTATTTATATCACTTGCCAAATCGGATGTGTCCAGTTCAAACGGTTACCAAAGTTCTTGACTGAAGTTCACTGAAAAAAAAAGAGAATTAAAATTTTAGACTTAAGAATTGCCCCTTGTTCTTGAGAAAAAAAATAAAAACATAGAATTGAAAACCGATGAACAATCAAGAAAAAGTTCTGCAGCTTGGGGCTCCTGGAAAGCAGTGGCTGGCATCACCAGCATAAACAAGTTTAACAAACCAACAAAAAAAAAAGGCGCCGCTTGCAGTTTTGGCAAAGCTTGGCGCGCCGTGTGCATCTGCCATGGAAAAAACAGATTCGGATGGACTAGTCCTTTAAGCTTTTTTTTTCGATAGATTGGCGGTTCCGGTGTCTTTGGTGAAGAACTCAGCAGCAAGTCGAAGCCGCAGGAGTGGTGTGACCTGAGTTCCCGACCATTCTTGCCTATTCTGACGTCAGCGAATCGGAAAGATCTGTTTGTGATATCCTGTCCTCAGGGACATCACACCCGTTAAGAAATGGAACGAGTACAGAGAAAGAAGATTAGCATGGCCCCTGCACACGCAGAAAGAAGATTAGTATGGCCCCTGCGCATGCAAGGATGACACACACACATATCGGGAAATGGTCGAAATTCAACAAATTGCGAGGATGTGGCTCCTCAGCAGGCCTAACGGGCCTCTTATGCAAGTGTGCCCGCCCTAAGTGCCGGCGGGCCTAGCAAATCACGAGAAGCCGAATGCTGTCAATTTCGTATTTGGGGCTCAGACAGCTGTGTCGCGTCAGCTGGTTGAGGGAACGCAGGACCCAAGCAGCAAATAGTTTCCATGTGTAATCTGGATTCTGTCATATCGCTATTGATCATTTTCCTTGCAAAATTAGAAGAAAAAAGGGTTAAGAATCTTAAGATACGTATATGACCTCCTCTCTGAAGTGTATCGACCTGTGTGGGGTGTGGGAGACTCAGGTTAAGGAATGTTGTTGCAGTGCCACAGGCGCATGGGTTGTAATAATCCTGTGGAAGGCCTGAAAGGTCAACGTGATGGAGACTGCTGGGTCATGGAATCTTTTTTTTTTTTTTTTGGGGGGGG